GGCCTGCCTGGGTCGTTCGAGGGCAGGATGGGCATGCCAGTCCTTCCCCAGTCCGGCGAGTGGGTAGGCAGCTCGGACACATCCCCCATGCAGACCTGCCCTCTCTCCCACCCTGTCTCCGTAGGCTCTGGTGGACCTCCTGCTGACAGGTGGGGTGGCCACAGCCACTGCTATGGCCTGGCACCGCGTGAGCCCATCGGCTGCCCGCCTGCTGTACCCGTACTTGGCCTGGCTGGCCGTCGCGACCCTGCTCAACTACACTGTGTGGAAGGAGAACCGTGGGCGGCGCAGTGGCCGGCAGTCCCCGGAGTGAGGGTGCCCCGCTGAGGGCTGCCCGCCAGGAGCCCACCGTGGTGGTGACTGTCATGGCCACGAGCCCGCTGCTCTGCAGGAGTCACCAGCAGGCTCGGGTGGTCCGTGCTGAACCCCCGCCGAGCTGGGCTCCGGAGCAGCAACCTGTGCTGCTGGCCAGAGAGGAGCGCCTTTGAGGTGCGTGGAGTTTGAGAAGCAAATAAAGTTTGTCACCTCCTTTGTGGTGGCCTTGTTCCCTGGGGACCCTAGTCGTGGGGTCGGGAGCAGCCAGCAGCGGCAGAGCTGGCCTCCTGGCCAGGCAGTGTGTCCCCATCCTGGGACGCTCCGAAGACCCATACTGACCTGAACTGCAGGGCTGGCCCGTGGCCTGAGGCTTTCCAGATGCTCAGGGAAGTTCTAGAAGGAGTGGAGCGCACACGTGGCCCTGCTGGGGTTCCGAGCAGGGCGCCCCTCTGGTCTCACCCGGGGCCAGAGCTGAAACCCCCTCTGGTAGCAGCCCACAGACTCAGCAGTATAAAGGGAGGAGGGGAGCAGAGCTCCTCCCTGGCCTGCCCCTGGGTTTGGGGGTGCCACCCCCCAGCCTCTGCAGGCTGCTGTTTGGACACCTGGCACACAGGCAAGTCCCTGCTGAGTGACACTGTCCTTGCATCCTGGATAGCAATCGCCTGAGCAACCTCCCAGGGGCAGGCCCACTGGCTGGACATTTAGGGTTGGTAAAAGCATGTTCAAATGGCCCACTGCTTACCCACGTGGAGACCCCTCCGCCGTCGGCCCTGAGCATGTAGAAGCTGACTGCCTGCAGGGTCCAGATTGTCCAACAGGGGACCAGGGCATTCCCGGTCA